ATTAAAACTGGTTTAGTTCATAAAGTGACACAACGTATTAACTGTACTACAGAAAACCCAGATAAATATAGCCGCAAACTGTGAATATTTTGGTACTGATGTGATGCAAATTGAAACTATAATGTGAGACTGGTCACAGGTACCTGTGATTCATCGTTGAAGACAATGCAGTTAAAAAGAATTCACTTTTCGCAGGATACGTTCAATGCGTCTTTCAAGTTTCTTAGTAATGATACTTTCTGTTTGGTCTTTTCCCTACTTTTTATCATAAACATTACTGTACAAACAAAACGCAGAAAGCTGTTAGCAAGCAATCAAAGCGTTACTGAACCAAACGAACCACTCGGAAACACTTAGCGGCACTGGTGCGGCTTGCACACCAGTTTGGATGTACAAGTAATCATTAGTAGCCAACGCATCGAAACCATTCCATGCTCACAGTTTTACCCGCATAATTAAAAAAAATTGTGTTTTTGTAATTCCTTTTATTTAAGTGGGTAAATTAGACGCGTATGAATAAAAAGAAAAGCAGAATCCGGTTTAATATAAGATGTGAGTTGCCTTTTTGTTCATATCCATGAAAAAGATAGTTAAAATTTATTTACCAATTACCATTTCAACTTACCCGGGATAATTTGTGCCCTTCACCCGCGGCAGGAGTTTGTGGTGAGGATCGTCGGTATTTGATTAGCTGAGAATCCGTGGGTAGCGGAGCTGTGGCCGTTACCAAGCGAGACACGTCAATCCGTGTGCTAGAGATTGGTCGAATCAGTGATACCGAATGCGTGGTCGATAGGGAAGCCTCATCGATGAATTGGGGCGATTGTATCGTATTCTTTTCAATCGAGGATCGCTGTACCGAAGTGGAATAGAGACTGTTGTGAATTGATCCGATGGAGAAGATACGCTTTGCCTCGGCATCGGTGATTCTTCCGTTTGCGTTCTCATCCGGTCCGATGTTCAACGGTTCAATCTTTCTGCCACCCCCCACTTTGTTCTTTTTCGATGGCTTTTGTCGTTGCGCCACAATAAACTCATAGGTAGTCATACCTTTCGAGTCTGGAAGCAGATACGAGATGAAGCATGAAGCATACAACTTATGTGACAATACAAAGCACAACCGAGTCATGTGCATACCCCATGCGTTCAAGAATAAAAACCCGGAATGAGAGGGATCAGAAGACATCAGTATTGCCTACCATTGTCTGGTGATTTTCCGTGCATTAAAACAGCAATCGGTATCCCTGTACTACCATTCACAAGTTGGAATGGTTGTTCCGGTCATCGAACGAAACAATAATTTTTAACACTTACTCAAAATATGTACATTACTCATAAAATAAGTTACCGAAAATCTTCTTATTTACTAATCGTGTTGTTCTATCAGTTGCGCAGCAAAAACCTTTAGAGAAGTTCATTCACAACAAACTGCTCACAAGATATGAAGATTGAAGGAGAGTTGTGGGAGTTTGTTGTGTGTGTATGAACCGATTAATAACTAAATGAGTGTTCGATGATAAACGATGGTTCATCAACTTTTGTTTCAGAGAGAATATTTTAAATCGGAATGCAATTTTCATTGTGCCAAAGTAATTAAACTCTCCCTATCCCCACCATTGATTGTAGATATCGAAATAGCTGTTCTAGTTATCCTCAATCGCATCACAATATGTAATCGACAACCGCATGAGGTGAGCGATCGACAGACTGACGCGAGTTACGGTCACTTAGCACCCGGATGACAGTGCCCATAGGCTCATATCACTATGAAAATCCTTGAACTAGCAAATATATCCGTTTTGGTCGATAAAAGTCACTGTCAATTGTGGAGTGGTAGAAGAGCCTGCGTGGTGTCCGGAAATCCGGGCTGGAAACATTTTGTGAGATCTATTCCAGCAAATATGAGATGATCAGGTTAAAACATTCACATTAACTGTGACACAATATGGCTTAAAATTGTGTCATGCATGGGAGATTTAGAATGGGTCCTTGAGCAGAAGCTTCCGGTATGATGGATTCCACAAAAATGCAGAACGCTCTACACACACGAATAGAAGAAGACGAGAAGGCGCATATCCCTGGCAGCATGAATTTTGTGCTGTAAAGGTAAAACCACGCATAAAACGGAGAAACAGAAAGGATTTGCGGTGCTTTAGCGACAAAACCAATTTTATAAGAGCAAGAACAAGCACCGTCACGGGATAGGTTGAATTAAACTGTTTCACATTATCTCTTCAGACGTGTACAAACATTCATGTGAAAGTTTGCTCAGGACAACGACAAATCTTTAAACAGCATTAGAACATCAAAAGCTTCTGTCCAACACAATAAAAGCGAGCCCTAGTAAAGGGCTTTTTTTCTGGAGCAAAACGAATTTGTTCTCCGGAAACACTTAAAAACGATCTTGAGCTGATATCCTGTGCATTACAGCAAAACGAGCATTTGCCGAATTTCACTGCAAAGTATGGCAACAACATAGAGACCAGAACTAGGCAAAACGACGTACCAGAGAAAAACGTTCTCATCACATTACCCTTTAAAAGTGATCAGAATGAGAAACTATCACAACGTCGGCTAAAACAAGCTCTCTCAAGAACGTACAGCGCCGCTTCGCTTATTATTCTCCATAAAAGCAGACGAATGATCACTGAATCCAGCTTGAACAAGCTTAACTCTCAAATTACCTTGTGTATTTACCTATCTCAATACATTTTCCGTAATAAGTATATCGGTATATCACATTTCAGAGCACCTCCCGAGAAATTTCGTGCTCAACGGCACGAAAATCCCCTCCAGCTCTATTACCCGCCATATATTTGACTGCAAATTTTGCATCGATTCAAAGCAAGCATTCAGAAAACTGGGTGGTTGTTACGGTTTGCTGAGGCCGTAGCCATTCAGCGTCACAAACCAGATCTCTGCAAACAATTGGACTTTGTGGCCAGCCTAATCCTCCCATGGTAGGGCTGTCACCTCGATTCCAATCGATAAACAAGCTATCCCACCCTATCCCTCTATTCAACCTGACTGTGATTGGTGACCTTTGACGTTGGCACTTACTTTGCCTAGTCGAGTGTTTTTTATGTTCAAAGATTTGTCATTAACCCAATCGAACTTTCACATGAACGTTCGTACACAGCTGAAGGGATCACGTGAAACAGTTGAATTCAACCTCTCCTGTGACGATTCTTGTTCTTGCTCTTATGATTTTAGTATTACATAATGTGTTATGTGCACTTGATGAGACACTTACAATGAGCCACATAAAAACTGTGCGGCGTAAAATCTAAGGTATTCCGTATTCAACTTCATCACAAGAAATCCTTGTTTCAATTTTCCGGAAAAAATGATAAGTCAGAAGTATAATTGCATAACGTTAAGCACGTTCTACTCTTTTCATTTCACTTCCTTTTATTAAATATGCAAAGAAACAATTTTCAGGAGTGGGAAAGCGGCCAATCAAATGGATACCACTCAACACACAAAGGAGCAAGTCAGCGGGTGGTGGAAGGATTCGAGCACATCCCCGAAGTGATAATTTATTGACGTTACCACCGAGCAACCACCACCCTTTACTTATTGAATAACTCTGTTCTATTCCCAATACTTGCAATACTACTCAGCGTATTCCAAAGGTTTCGCAGTGCACTAGTAGCATGCGTGATACTTTCAATCCTCAACGATTTTTGTTGTTTCTTTTGCGTTCGCGAGAGGACATTACGCGTTGCATTGCGTTGCCTTCACCCCAATCACACGTGGTTCTCAAGTCATTCTCATCTAGGTAACGCTTCACTCAGCCTAACGGTGCATCAACCCTGGATTCAATGTGATTCTTGAGCAAGATAAATGAGCAGCTTGGTTCTTCTTACAAAAGGTTGAAGAAGACTGGAAATGAATATTGTCAACTAAAAAGAGGAGCTCATTCGATTTGGTATAATGATGAGATATGCCTGGACAAATAACCAGTTCAGGGAAGCTTCGCAAATGTCAAAAATCATGAGACGCTGGTGTTTAATGACTATTCAAAGAAACCGTAAATACATTCATCCGTAGAGATAGTTCGAGGACAAAATATCGCCGTTATCTCAAATCTTTACTACAAACATATTCTACATGTTGATCAAAGGTCTACTTTCTGGTCTCTAGTAACATTATTTTCACTTTTCAATGTCATTCCCCTGATTCATGTAAAGGCCCTGTTTTGCTTTATTATCCTCTATTGTATCTTACATGACCTCGAATAAGGCACAATTTCCGGTGATTTGTATCGTATGCTTCACTCTCTGTACACCTTTCCGCTGCATCTCACATTATACTGCTAACGCTCGTGCCCGACTTTGTTTTCAATCTGGTCTCTCCTTGGGAAACCTCGTGATACGCCCGACGATTCTTGTTCTTGCTCCTATGAAATTCCTAAAGGGAACTGGATGTATGAAATTTCTAAAACCAATTTAACTTTATATGGGTCTGACATATGGAATTACTAGTGACAAGATCTACGGACAACGGAGCGTGATATTAGCAAACGGACCAATGGTAGAAAATCCGGGATCGTATAACGCACCCTTTTGAGCGATGGTAAAACTGAACTGGCCATGCCACTGCGATTGGATGGTGCCGATGCTTGAACCTCTAAACTGAGATTGCACTTTATGTCTGCAATAGCACCAAACGGCTTTACTGAAATATATCACAATATCGCAGTTCATAACTTGTGTCCAACAAAATGATTTTCGTCACTCCGTGGAATCCAAACAATGGTGTGGCCCACGTGAATATGTTTTGGGGCTATTGGTAACCGAAATGTGTATCAAACAGGCATACAGGCATTTTGGATTGGCGAGTGAAATACAGTTGATGTTGGTATTATTGACAGCCTCATAAAGTGTATGGTGAGAAACTGTGCGGAAACGTTGCGACGGAATGGCCGTTTCATCCGGTAGTAAGCGGGTCCCAATGTGTAAGGTCCACAGAGAAACTTGTGTTCTGTTGGCATGGTCATTAAAATTTGAAAAACGTATTGAGATGAACCTCTATTCAAGGCCTTTTGTCCAAATACCTTCTTGATTCTCAAACACGGTGGTTTTCATGCATATGCACACGGATATAATCTAAAAATCGAGGCGGGTAGAGAAATACATTGTCGCCGGATGTACATACATATGGAACCCTCAAAGTTGGTTTGTCAGAGATTCAAAGCAACCAATGAATAGAGGAAGATTGTGTTCCGCTCAGTTCAGAAATTCGAAGATTTCCTGTGGATGCGGTCTCATGTTGTGCTTACCAAATCAATTGCTCGCATGACAAGTCGTGTGAGTCGAACTACCAGATATTCGTCTGATTCCACTGGGGAACACCTTGTTAGTTGACGTTGCCGCGGAAAATCCAGTTCTTTGATAATCCTAATTCACACGAATTTCATCGAATCCGGTCACACAGTCAGTGAGCATGAATCAATCAATCTTTAATCGACAGGGTAAACAACAGATTGTCGGAATATTTCAAGGGTTGACATGCTCCCTCAAAAATGGCTATTCAACTAAGCAATCCTTCCCAGGGTTCAAACCAACTCTTTGTGTCAACAAACGTACGCATGTTTTCGGACGTGATTTTTATGCACACTTGCCTTGTTCCCATCAGCAAACCAAGTTGACGAATCAACAAAAACAAGCCTGTTTAATTTCTGTGTTCTTTGAAGACAATTAGGACTCCAATATCACAAACCATTGTCCGTCAATCTACTTTAATCCTGTTCCCCCATTGACCAAGTATTGGCACGATATAGCAAAACTGTCCGAGCTGCTACAGCCAACCCAACCCTTTACAGATCGCTGGAAGTCGCGACGGCCCCACAGATATTCCTTGTTGGCAAATACATATTGAGTGCTCGGTATGTGTGATGTCAATTCATTTTACATTTTAAAGGTGTAAAACATATGCCAAACAAGGCCACATTAGAGAGAGTGAGGGAAACCCCGAAGAAAACCGCTTTCTGTGGCCAACTAGGGAGAAGAAAGGCTGTGAGGTGGGACTGGTCCTCGGTTGTCA